TACAATATGCAGACCTAGGTATCCTTAGCATATCTAGTTTTTGATTTTGTCAATTTTCTTGGACCCGCAACCTCTAGGACACAATAGCAGTAACCAGTTAGATGTGTTCCTTTCATAGACAGATCTTATTTTTTCATGTAGATTTAGACCTTTTTGAAGCATTTAAAACTGACAATTGTGTATTACACATGTATATTATATAGGACTCGTTACTATATGCTAGCTCCGATTTTAATGTATTATATTTTTAAGCAATATAGCAGCATGTAAGCCGTACAAGTCTGTCACGGTTTCATTGTTTCACTGTAGTGTGTTTTATTCACGGTCACTTTAATCACTGTTTGATCATGGTCTATCACAGATTTTCACATAGATTGGGCTTTACATGCGGCTACCTTACTACTACTCAATATTGAGGAATATAATCCTTCTCTTATAAATGTATATATAATTTCTTTAACGGATCTTTCCTCCTACTGATACATCTTTTACACCCGATCGCAATTTTTTTGACATTCACTTTTTGTTGATGGTAACCAGGGTAACCACGTTCTGCCCCGCTATGCGTCCAACAGCGTGACATCACACGCGGCTTCTCTGCACTTCCGCGTGTTAAGGGATGGTGGGACTTCACATTATTGATTGGCAAGTGTATTTTTCCTAATTGATATTTACACACAAAAAAAAAAAATAATGTAACTGTAACAGTTAAATAATGAATATGGGCTTAACGTGCAGTCTCAGCTTTAATTTGAGGGTATTGACTTCCAAATTGAAGGAATGGATTAGAAATTACAGCCCCCTCTTTTTCAACGGTCCAAAGGTAATTGGACAATTGACTCAAAAGCTGTTTCATGGACAGGTGTGGTCTATTAAGTCATTATTTCTTCTTCAATTAAGCAAGGAAAAGCTCTGGAGTTGATTCAATTAAACAAGGAAAAGCTCTGGAGCATTCTCATTTGGAAGCTGTTGCTGTGAACCCATAACATGCGGTCAAACGAGCTCTCAATGCAATGAAACAGGCCATCTTTAGGCTAAGAAAAAAAATCCTTTAGAGAGCTAGCATAAACATTAGAAGTGGCCAAATCAACAGTTTGGTATAGACCTGTGCAATTCGTTTTGTTCCCGAATGTGAATTGCCGAACCGAACCGAATTGCCAAAGTGGCGAGGTGCTTCGGATTTCTGAAAAGTGGCAAAACAAGAGAGGGAGGGAAAATTATGTGAATAATGACTGGTAGGGTTAGGGAGCCCTACAGATGTTCCGAATGCCTAAGTTCCGAATTTCAAAGTACTGAACTGAACCGAATTACCAAAGTGCCGAAATTTTTTACTTAACCGAATTTCCAAACCAAATTGTTTGCCCATGCACATCCCTAGTTTGGTACATTCTGAGGGAAAAAAATAATGCACTGGTGATTTCTACACAACACCAAAAGGCCTACACGTCCACGGAAAACAACAGTGGTAGATGATCGTAGGATAATTTCCAGAGTAAAGAAAAAACAATTCACAACATCCAACAACATCTAGGGTTTACCACAAGGTCCAAAGCATTCATAAACCTCAAGAATAGAAAGGCCAGATTAGACTTAGCCAAAAAAGCCAGCCCAGTTCTCTAACAGCATTCTTTCAACAGATAAAAACAAAGATCAATCTGTACCAGAATGATGGGAAGAAAAAAGTATGGCGAAAGCTTGGAACTGCTCATGATCTGAAGCATACCAGATTATCTTTAAACACGGTTGAGGCAGTGTGATGGCACGGGCATGCATGGCTTCCAATGGCACTGGGTCACTAGTGTTTATTGATGATATGACAAAAGCAGCTGGATGAATTCTGAAGTATATAGTGATACATTATTCTGATTCAGCCAAATTCAGCGAAGTTAATTGGACGGTGCTTCACTTTATATAAAATAATAACCTCAAACATACTGCGAAAGCAACCCTGGAGTTTAAGACAAAGAAGTGGAATATTCTGCAATGGCAGAGTCAATCACCTGATCTCATCCTAATCGAGCAAGCATTTCACTTGCTGTAGACAAAACTTAAGGCAACTTAAAGAAAATACCCATGAACAAACTACTGAAGACCACTGCAGTAAAGGCTTGCAAAGGATCTCAAAGGCGGTAACCCAGCGTTTGGTAATGTCCATGCATTACAGACTTCAAGCAGTCATTGCCTGCAAAGACTTCTTGACAAAGTATTCAAAATTAACATTTTATTCAAGATTGCATGAATTTGTCCAATTACATTTGAGCCCCTGAAATTAGGGGACTGTGTATGAATATGGTTGCAATTCCTAAACGTTTCACACAATATTTTTGTTCAACCCCTTGAATTAAAGCTGATATTCTGCACTTAATTTGCATCTCGGTTGTTTCATTTCAAATCCATTGTGGTGGTGTACAGTGGCAAAATTATGAAAATTGTGTCCATATACAAATATTTCCGTACCTAACTGCGTCTGTGTGTATATATATTTGATAAATTGGTGCACAAAACTTTTAAATGTTCTATACACGTCATAATCTATAACATGTATCAGAAAAATAGAAACAATGCGGGGACGGGGACTGGCAGCTGACCAAGATGGTCGCAAGCAACTGGAGCTCATTGCGATAACCTTTTACTTTTCATATGTAACCCCTATTTCACTGTTTATGAATGGCTTGGTGTCATCAAATAAACCAGTATGTGGTGCCTCACAGACATCAGAGTATTTGTTTAGAATGGGAGAGTGGAACACATTCTGTTTTTTTTTTTTTTTTTTTTAACAACTAGTACCACTTATTGGCTATTTTGTTAAGGTACTTATTGCCCTGAGGTAAAGGGAACCTTTGCACTCATTAGCTGCTCAGCAAGTATAAAACACCACTCTTATATTAGACAAGGAAAAGAACACCCTAACATCACGACCGAGGACGGTTCAGGACCGTCATCGGCATTTTTGCCTTGCAGACCGATGACTGTCCTGAACCGTCCTAACGGTTTAGTTACTTACCTGATCGCCGTCGTTCCCCCGGCGGCGATCAACGTTGCTCCGGTTGTGGGGAGACTGCCTGCAGCCCAGACAGTCTCCCCACACTGACTTAGGCCCCCTGTGGCCATGTGATCGCTGAACACAGCGAACACATGGTCACAAAAGGTGTCCATGTGTCTGCCTGCAGGGGGACTGTCTGTGCTGACAGGCAGTCTCCCTGCATGTGTAAAATAAAAATAAAAAATAATAAAGTTAGTGTTAATAAAAAAATAAAATAATTATATATGTGTATATATGATATATATATATATATATAATGTCATACTAAGTGTATTTTTATATTAATATGTACTTATATTAATATATATTATATTAATATAAAATACACTTATAATTAAATTACACACGTATATATAATAACTATATATATTGTATATATTATTATAAAATATAAATAATAAGTAATTTCAATTAAATAAAAAATTTTTAAATAATAAAAAAATTTAAAAAATTATATATCTATATGAAATTTTATTCTAACTGTATTTTAAAATTAATATATAAATATATTTATATCAAAATACACTTAGAATGAATTTGTATATATATCTATGTATATATAAATAAATAAAAATACGAAATATACATATGTCCATATACAAAATTACATAAATAATTATATAAATATACACGTAGACTTCAAATATATAAATATGCATATATATTTAAATTCTACGTGCGTATTTATGTAATATTTTTACATAATTCAGTAATTTTATTGATTGCAATTTGAGGGACCTGCCTGCCAACCCAGGCCGAAATTCCAGAGAATTTAATTTGCTAGCACTGTATTTTACCCTGTAACGTTCTACGACACCCTAAAACCTGTACATGGGGGGTACTGTTTTACTCGGGAGACTTCGCTGAACACAAATATTAGTGATTCAAAACAGTAAAACATATCACAGCGATGATATTGTCAGTGAAAGTGACTTTTTTTGCATTTTTCACACACAAACAGCACTTTTACTGATCATATAATTGTTGTGATACGTTTTCCAGTTTTTAAACACTAATATTTGTGTTCAGTGATGTCTCCCGAGTAAAACAGTACCCCCCATGTGCAGGTTTTATAGTATTTTTGAAAGTTGCAGGTCAAATATATGGGTCAAATATTTTTACATTGAAAATGGCCAGGTTACGTTGCCTTTGAGAGCGTATGGTAGCCCAGGAATGAGAATTACCCCCATGATGGCATACCATTTGCAAAAGAAGACAACCCAAGGTATTACAAATGGGGTATGTCCAGTCTTTTTTAGTAACCACTTAGTCACAAACACTGGCCAAAATTAGCGTTCAATTTAGTTTTTTTACTTTTTTCACACACAAACAAATATGAATGCTTACTTTGGCCAGTGTTTTCGACTAAGTGGCTACTAAAAAAGACTGGACATACCCCATATTGAATACCCTGGGTTGTCTACTTTAAAAAAAATATGTACATGTGGGGTGTTATTCAGAGATTTATGACAGATAATAGTGTTACAATGTCACTATTGATAAATTTTAAAAATTTATGTTTTGAAACCGCAATATCCTACTTGTACCTATAGCCCTATAACATGCAAAAAAAAAGCAAAAAAGCACGTAAACACTAGGTATTTTTAAACTCAGGACAAAATTTTGAATCTATTTAGCAGTTTTTTTCATTCGCTTTTGTAGATGAGTAAAAGATTTTTCAAGTAAAAGTCAAAAAAACATGTATTTTTTTCAATTTTTCATCATATTTTTTTTATTTTTTTTAAATTAAAATACATGAGATTATATAAATAATGGTATGTAAAGAAAGCCCCTTTTGTCCTGAAAAAAACAATATATAATTTGTATGGGAACAGTAAATGAGAAAGCGGAAAATTACAGCCAAACACAAACACCACAAAAGTGTAAAATATGCCTGGTCGCAAATGTACAACATCGCAAAAACAGTCCAGTCCTTAAGGGGTTAAACGCAGATTTTACCATTTCAAAAATTGCTTTTTATTCAGAGTATGCATGTATATTTATAAATGAGTCAAATGTTACTTGTGTTTCTAGGTTACTGGAACAGTTACTTTAAACAATTAAACAACTGACTGGATTAAATTTGAAAACTTTACAGTAATTATATTACATGTAAAAATAATCACACCATATAAACACAGCACAATTCCACTCACTTGCAGAATATGTGAGTGCCCACTCACCTTCTCTTACGTCACCCAGATTGTCCATATCAGTCAATTGGAATCAGTGAGGACTGAGCAGGCATTCCTGTTGTCTCTATGCCCACAAACTCAAATACATTTAGCGTTACATATGTACAAACAAAGGCAAATTATATAGTAAAGATAGCTTCTGCAAAGAGAGACATAACAGAATTGTTTAAATTTTTCTCTAAAGTAACTGAATCGCCCACACAAGTATTTGTAGCAAACAATGGCATCATAAAAAAAACATACTAAAACTGCAAACATTCATCTCATACAGATTTTATTTCCCCTCATAATGATAGATACATAGTTTAGGTAATGGGTAGTCAACCTGGTTGGGATTTCAGGTGGACGGTGGTGGGTTCTGCAGAAAACTCCTGGTAGGCCAAGTTGGCCATGGACCAAGGCCAGGAGGGGATATCCTTTCATTTCCTCTGCCGGCCCATGCAGAGTCAGCCTTACTGTAAGCCCTCTCACACACACAGCCCCCTTACACACACACTGCCCCCTTCACTCACATAGCATCCTTCACACATACAAACACACACATCACTCCAACACACACTGCTGAACACACAGAGAAAAAAAAAGTCAAAAAGAAAAAAAAAAGGTAAATATTTCACCTTTCAAAGAAATAAAAATACAAAAAAGTCATATTTGTGCTATAAAATTTGTTACTGCAGCACTGGTTGGCGGTAAGGAAAGTTTACCATCAACAAAGATACAAAAGTGGGCGGTAGGTATTAAAAGGTTGATACCCCTGGTTTAGGTAAACCAAAAACCCTGAGTTGTAAACCTCTTATTTACGAACTACATTTCCTATGATGCATAGCCAGTCACATTAACAAAATAGGCTTATAACATATTTCCTTCTCAATCCAATTTTAAAGTTAAAAATAATTTGGTACAGCATTTTAGATAGATTTCCTTAAATGAAGCAAATAAAAACCAATATTTAGCTATTATAAGAAATATAAAATAGTTTTTAAGACAAGGCTCAACAAATACTGGATGTCAGATTACTTTGTAATAAGGTAATGCACATTGACACCCAGATATTCCTCTCCCATCATTTTCATACATACATTACACTAACAGCATATTCTAGTTCTTTCATTCAGAACAGGGCTTCAAAATACAGTAACTGTTTTTATTTAATTAGCACCTGGATTATCATTTATGAAGCTGCTTGCTCTTCTGTGCCAATAGCACTGAGTATGTAGATTGTCAGAGCATTGCATATCGTGATATAGAACAGAGTTGTTTTATACACCCCAATCCAGCAAAATAAATAAAACTGGCTTAAAGGACCACTATAGTGCCAGGAAAACATACTCGTTTTCCTGGCACTATAGTGCCCTGAGGGTGCCCCCACCCTCAGGGTCCCCCTCCCGCCGGGCTGGATGGAGAGGAAGGGGTTAAACTTACCTCTTTCTCCAGCGCCGGGCGGGGAGCTCTCCTCCTCATCTCCTCTTCCTACTCCCTCTTCTCCTCCTCTGATTTTCACAGTGAGAAGCACGCAAGTGCCTCTAGCGGCTGTCAAGAGACAGCCACTGGAGGCTAGATTAACCCATTTATAAACATAGCAGTTTCTCTGAAACTGCTATGTTTATAAAAAAAAAAAAAAGGATTAACCCTAGCTGGACCTGGCACCCAGACCACTTCATTAAGCTAAGTGGTCTGGGTGCCTATAGTGATCCTTTAAGGTTTTAACTTGTGTAGCGTGCCAGGCAAAGTTTGCTTTGTTCAAATTTACCAATTCTTTAAAATGCACTACAGAAATGTAGAAAGTGAAAAATAAAATAATAAATAGGATATTCCAATATTTTCTGCTGATTCTTCAGTTACCTCTCAAATCTTTTATTGGTAACAATCCCCAAGAGTTTCCACTTGCCCAGAAGTTACCAAACTAGTAACTCCGGAAAATGATACCATGTCTCTGAAGTGTGAAATTTCTAAACAAAGAGCAGGTGCTAACCACATATTGAACAAGAAAAACAAATCCCAAAATGAATAAAATCTTACTTCCACGAAACAAAATACATCTCAGTTTATTTTCAACTTGAAATGCTATGTAGAATTAATTACACATTGCAGTCTACAATTCAAATTGCTCATCGGAGTGTTCTCTATGGAATAAAGATAAAAAAACAAAAAAAACTGTAAAAAATTTTGGAAATAGTTACAAGATTTCAGTTATTCCAGTAATTATCAGGTTATTAACTTTTGCTAATATTAACAGCAGTTATACCTAGAACATCTATTTTTTTATATTTTGCCATTAGATTATTTTAAAATGTGAACTACATTGTATCCCATTATTGATTCTAATGATTGAGAAGCTTCAGTTAAGGGCAGCGTCGGGCAAGAAGAATTCTTCCTCTGATTCTACTTAAATTGACATTTTATGTTCATGTTCTCAGTGTAATTACAAGGCAGAGAAGACTGCAAGCCAATGGCTAATGACAGGAAAGAAACACTTTGAAGATTAAGAGTCCAGGTCTTTTTTTTTTTTCTGTCCAGTGTATTTGAGAATTCTTATACATTGACTGAGAACATTACAAATAACAGGAGGATAAGACTGGGATTAAAATAATAAGCCAATTATTTTATGTAACAATTTACAAAAGTACATTTTTTTTCTTCCATCTGCACTGAACACTTTGTAGCAAATGGCAGTTAATTTGGCTGTGTATTTTTTTTCCAGGTTCATTGTCCAATTGGAAATTTAAAAAGAAAAATATGTAAAAAAATAATATAAAACAGATAAAAATTAGGTCATTCTGGTAAGAGACGCCATGATCGAGGGTCCAGTCTCTCTTTGATGGACTTTTGCCTTGGGGTTGGTACTGGTTTTACAGGTTGTTCATCTTGTGTTTGAATTTCATTCTTGTCCTCCGTAGCATCGCACTTTTCTGTTAAAATAGGTTTACGAGGCGCTGTTGCTGGTCTCTGGAACGGGTGCATTAGAGAAGATAACTTTGAATCAAATGACTTGCGAGAGAAACTGGAACGTGGCCAGAAGTTCTCTTTTTCAGCAACGTCTGAATGTTGAGACTCTGCAATGTACGGTGCTCTGTTGGGTGGGGGAGGAGGAGCTCTTCTCTTCTTACCTTTACCATCGATGGGATTCATGACCTCGTCTACTGAATCTGGAGGCATTTTGCTTTTCTCAACATGTAGGTCATGATTACCATCAAATAATGCAGCCCATGGAGGTTGCACACTTTCTGGTTGTCCAATCAGAAACCTTCCATCTGTTTCTTCTATTTTCCTGTGCAGAATGTCTGTTACACTTTCAAATTTAATTGGGGAGCCAATGCCTAAAAAAGGGAAGTAATGCTTGGTAAATTATTTTAAAACAAATAATGAAAAAACATAAACACACTCATTGTTGCTGGCTGTGAGGGACGGAGGTGTGGGCAATACTATAGGACTTTTTTCCCCCAGGTCTTTTGTCTCATCCCCACACTAAAGTGAAAGAATGTCCAATGTTGTTGAACAGACTTTGATCAGATATCTCTGTTCTTACAATAATAAAAAAAAAAAAATCCTCATAATCAGACTCGGAAGTGCTTTTAAAAGAGCTCTCTCTGTGCCTGCATTTGATTGTAGCAAATTAAAGGGTTGCACACATAGAAAAATAAAATTATATAGTGAAAACATGTACACGTGATCAGACACACTCAAAACTATTGGAAAAGTGATGCATTGAACAAAACAGTATTTTTTAAGAGAAGAAAGGGGAACAATCCACTAAATATCAGCATTTCGCCTACACAATTATTAGCTTTGGTTTGTAGATTGTCCCAAACTCAAAACAAGTGTAAGTGAACGCCCTATGAAGAGACTGGAAACGTCACAACGTGTCTAAAATGCCATTGTAGTAGACTGCAAGTACTACAGGTGTAGCCATGTACTCCTACTTTTTCTAACATGGGAGGGAGTTTGTGTGTTGTCTGAGTAAGACTAGGAAAAGGAGATGATCGCACATCTGATGAAATAACAAAACTTAATATTACTATATGTTGGGAATGGATCATGGAAACGGCCAACCAATACCTCATTATTTTTGTGTAGAGAAAATATTGAGCAATCAACAGTTCTCGAACCTTGAAAGCTTTCTTATTACAGAAAGTAGAACACCATAGGATACTTTGTAATGATTTATAGGACAGTGTAGATGCCATTATTCGACATGACTATTTGCACATCAGGAACACAAGAATACTAGGTCTACTACTTGACTTGTAAACATTTCTATTTACACTTACAGGATTATTCACTAAACTGTAAATGGTCATATAATCACAGGAAGTTGAATATTTTTTCCAAAACAGTGGATAGTGAAGAAACATTGTGGACATGGGAAAATATGTCAAAATTTGCTATTTGGGTCAGAAATTTCAACATTTTGCAAGTTTCAGGGATCAACCAATAAGCCTGCTTGTTTTTAAAGAAGGTTGCAGTATACCACATGTACCGTGAATACAGATAGAATTGGTGAATGTCAAAGCCAACAAAAAGAAAAACGAAAATACATTATTTTTCATCCCTTACTGTCCTTGTGAGCACATTGTATTTTTGCAGTAATTTTAGTTCCATACAAACATCATAAATATGTAAAATTCTTGGAAACACATTGTATTAACCCAAACAGATACAGACTCCTAAGATTAACAGTACTTTTGTCACAGAATGAATCACTTAAAAGTTGAACCAACAATGGGCTCTCACTTGTGCGTGAGAATATTCGGTAAAAGGTTTGGGTTTGTGTCTTGCATCCAGGTTGGACGCAACAAGTACCATACGCTACCAGTAGCCACTACCAGCTATTTGGCAATATAAATCTACCATGTCTGCTCTGTCTATTCGCTTACTGACGAATTGCCTTGTTTGCACAGGCTGTTTCACATTCTTGAGATAACCACTGATCATCCTTAAGAAAGGTAAGAAGAATCACAAGTAGAAGTAAAATTTACCCAGATCCCGAACAAACA